TATTTGAGGAAATTGAATTTGATTTAGAATTGTAATACTACACTTTAAAAAAATCCTGACTATCTGGAAAATATTTTAGGTTGGCACAATCCACTGGAAAAAGCTTGGCATATGGAGCTGGAGAATTTAGGTTCGAAGTTCAGCCCCACAATCTACTAGATGAATAAAGCTGGATGGGTTGTCAAACATCTGATCCTTAAATTCGCTGTTAGGTGGATATGATAAGATCTAACTAGGGGGTTCTTGAAGGGATTAATATGTTGGGCATATTATCTTGTAAATAGTCAAGTATATTTTTATTTTTAGATCCTATAATTTTTCTTCATAAAACATGTATGTACTCTACCTAAGAGAAATTTCAGGGAATCATTAGATTTTTACATTTCTGAAAAATTGTCTCAAGACTGTTCTTAATATTTATAACAAGTTAAATGTATTAAACTCTCTTGATTTAGTATTATGTTCTTGGACTTGGACTGCTGTTTCTACCCCTGATTTTAACACCTGAATCTACATTGATGTCTGTTTGTAAGATCTGCTTAGCTGTAGTATGTAAATGGAAAATGTGATTTGGGATAATTTATTGGAATATGGTAGTAATCTTCACTGTCTGGGAAGTTATTCATTGGAAGACATTATTTTTGTGTTTGCCCAATTTGGCAATTAAATTACATCCAGACAATTGGATTGACATACAATTTGACTTTAAAATTGGCACATTTAAATATAGGCATTATTAATTTCATGATTAGTATTGGGGTCTTTACCTGGGCATTGGTTCACACGTGGGGCAATAAGACCTTAACACTCTTAATAGTAAGTGTAATTGTCTTTGTATGTGGATGTGAACTGTTTTGGTTCTAAATGCCCTAGTAGAAAGAATGAATTACTATAAAATCTTAATAAAATATGTGTTAAGAAATGTATGGAAGTTATACAAATTGTTTTAATATGTCATGTATGTTCCTGAAAGCTATAAGATATGAAAGACATAGACCCCTTAAAAAATCATGAGGAAATAAGTGGGAAGAAAAATTTTCTTTTATTCAGATATTTAATTTTGGTGTGATTATGATTTGGGTGAATTATGAATTTTTTTCTGTTACTTGATGGAAAAAACAATTTTAAGGTAGGATTTGAATCTAATGTCAGTGGATGACTTAATGAACCTGAAAAGAGATAATTGTTGCAGAAATTTCATAAATTAGACAAGCTTTAGGAAGAATTTTATTTTCCCCTGAAACATTTTTTTCTCTCCAGCTAAATTCTTCCTCATCTTATGAATCTATGTTATGTTTTACTTTTCCTTGGAATTGTTTTAATATCTCTTGGGTATCATAGTTGTTCCTCATTTGTATTTTTATAAAACTATAAATTATAAATTTATTTACATATTGTTAATGTCTAAAGCTACAACTTTATTCTTTGTTTTCATATGTACTGTGCCTAACAGCTTTATCTGTAGTAGTTACATCCCTAAGTTTTTTAAAAATTTCTTTTAGTTGTTGATGGAAACTTTATTTTATTCATTTTATTTATATGTGCTATTGAGAATTGAACCCAGTGCCTCACACATGCACACATGTGAGGCAAGTGCTCTACCACTCAGCCACAACCCCAGCCCAACACACCTAAATATTTTTTTTCATTTATTTTTTGAAGTTGTAGATGAATATAATACCTTTATTTTATATATATAAAATATATAAACATATATATATATATATATTTAGTTGTAGATGGGCATAATATCTTTATTTTTATGTGGTGCTGAGGATTGAACTTAGTGCCTTACACATGCTAGGCAAGCAGTCTGTCACTGAGCTACAGTCCCAGCCCATTTTCCCTAAATATTTAATGGAGAAATGTAGTTAATGTAATTGAAACAGTCTCATCTAGTTTCTTATTCGTTAGTATTTTGCCATTAAACAGATTTTAAATTACATTTTTATGAAATTGGTAAGCCAGTGAGTTTTTTTTTTAAATAGAGAGAGAGAGAATTTTTTAATGTTTATTTTTTAATTTTAGGCGGGCACAACATCTTTGTTTGTATGTGGTGCTGAGTATGGAACCCAGGCCGCACGCATGCCCGGTGAGAGCGCGCTACGGCTTGAGCCACATCCCCAGCCCCAAGTGAGTTGTTAAAAATTAACAAAAGTGGGGTTGTGGTTGTGGCTCAGTGGCAAAACAGAACGCTTGCCTAGCATGTGTGAGGCACTGGGTTCAATCCTCAGTACCACACATAAATAAATATATAAAAACTAAAGGTACATCAACAACTCAAAAAAAAAAAAAATATATATATATATATAAAGAAGCCAAATGAATCATTTCAGCAAGGTTTAAGTACTGTGGGTAAAGAGACTATCACAATTAGAAAACATTTGTTTTAACTTGTATTTCTAGTAATCTTATTTCCTTTACATTTTATCTTAACTTATTTCTTCCTACTAAGTAGTTACTATAGTGAAATTTTCAGGTGCTGAATTACATTTATCGGAATCTGCAGTTTCTGTGAATCCGTCTAGAAGGGACAGTTGTTTTGGATAGTTTGCTGTTAACTTAAAGTTGTATACATATGGGATGCTTTTATTTTTTTTTAATCTTTTGTTTAAGTTGTAGTTTGACACAATACTTTTATTTTTATGTGGTGTTGAGGATTGAACCCAGTGCCTTGCACATGCTAGGTGAGTGGTGTTCTACCGCTGAGCCACAATCCCAGCCACGGCCCTCCTCCTCCCCCCACCCCCCCCCCCGCCTTTTTTTTTTTTTTTTAAGACAAATTGCTACCCCAAAGTAGTAGCTATAGGGAGGGGCCCAGCTTTGCCTGAAGCATAATGATGCCTCCCATCTGGAGAAAATTATTTTCTTAGCGAGGAAAAGATAATGAGGCTAATAATTTAGCAAATAAAATTTCTGCATCGTTATCTTCCTTATTAAGGACAGAATTGGCCCTAAGCTTATCCTATGGGATAAGCTGAGAGTACGAATGTCCCCTCAACGTGTAAGTGTTGGAGGGATGACTGAAAGCAGAAAGAGAGTAGGAGCCGAACTGGCTCAATCTAAATTCTAGATACTATGCTTCTATTTTTTTTTTTTTAAATTCAGCTTCATCCATAGAAGAATACAGAATTGTTGACTCTTTTAACCCATCTCAGTTCAGTGGATAGCAGAGAAAATCAACATGAGCTGGAATTATAGTTTGCCTTGCCTCTTCCCTGAGAGATTTTATCTTCCAGATTCTACTTGAAAAGACTAGTTCCTTGTTGATACTTGCTGGTTATCTCTTTGTCTCTCTTCTTTCACATTCCAGCAACAAGACACTAAAGAATACAACACTGCAGTTAATAAATGTCCTTTGCTACTGCTTAACTGGATGTACAATATTGTATTTTGTTATTAAACAAAGGAAAAATGTTAAAGATTATCTCAGGTTATTAAGAGAGGTAGCAACTTAGAATCAAACTATATAATTCTTTTTCTTTTCAGTACTGGGGATTGAATCCAGGAACACTCTACCACTAAGCTACATCCCAGCCCCCCCTTTTTTTTTGTTCTAACTTAAAATAGGATTTTGTTAAATTGCTGAGGATGACCTTCAACTAGTGATCCTCTTGCCCAAGCCTCTTGAGTACCTGAGATTAGAAGTGTGTGCCATATAATTTTTTCCTACCTAAGTGCCCTCTCCAGTTGCAAAGTGAGATTACCAGAGGAAAAAACCTAAATTTTGTGAATAATTTTTTTCCTTTTTAAAATAAACAACTCTAGAAATCTATAATAAAGGGGAAAATTTTCTAGAATTTTAGTAGGTAGTCTTGACTAAAAATCCAGTGTAGGAAATTCAGAAATGAAAAAAGCACAGTTTTTGGTTTAAAATGTAACAAGTAAATTACCTAAAATCTCACGTCTGGAGTCTTTTTTACATATCACCTTCTTTTATCATTTTATATTGTGCCTTCATGGTTCATAGACTATTCACATGCTAATTTGCATTGCAACTCTGTTAATGTTTTCTACATTTCTACATTTTCCATCTGTTTTTATTGGTTGCATTTTATGTTGTCATGCAGTAATTTTGTTCAATTTTTTCCTATTGATCATTTAGTTAGTAACTTTTCTTTTTAACTTTATTGTGGTAAAATAGAAGATAAAATTGATCATCGTAACAATTTTTAAGTTTTTAGTTTTGTGCAACTATCACCACCATTCATCTCTGTTGATTCTGTTCATCACATAAAACTAAAACTTTATACCTATTAAATAATAACTTCTCGTTCCTCCTCCCCCCAAGTCCTTTGTCTCTGATTTTAGCTACTCTGTATTACCTCATGCATCATATAGTATTTGTAATGGTATCATACAGTATTTATCTTTCTTTTTTGTTTGATTTGTTTCACTCAGCATTGCATCCTTGAATTTCCTTTTCATGGCTTGAATAATATTCCATTGTATGGATATACCACATTTTGCTTATCCTTTCTTCTGTAGATGGACACTTTGGTTCCTTCCACATTTTAGCTGTTGTGAGTAATGGTGCTATGAACGTGGATGTACAAACGCCTTTGTAAAATTATGCTTTCAATTTTTCTGAATATATTTTTTTCTAGAAGTAAATTGCTGGATCACGTGGTAATTCTGTGTTTAATTTTTTAAGGAACTATCACTGTTCTCCATCGTGGCTGTGCCATGGCTAATTTACTATTGTTGGTAATACTCTAAATCACATTTTAAGTTTTGAAGTCTAACTGTTGGAATTTCTTAAAATAATCTTTTCAGAAGCAAGAGAAAAAGAAGAAGAAATGAACAGAGAGAAAGAATTAAGAAGACAAAGTGAAGATATTGAACCCACACCATCAGGCTCAAATATGGCCAGAGATTGCTCAAAATCATTATCCAGGTGCCTGATTCTCTCAGAAGGCTTCTATTAAACTATTATTTTTCTAAGTGTTCATAACACAATTTAGACAAAGATCCTGATATTAAAAGCTTATATAGGAGGCTGAGTCAGGTGGATTGTGAGTTCAAAGCCAGCCTCAGCAAAAGCTATGCGTTAAGCAACTCAGTGTGACTTGTCTCTAAATAAAATACAAAACAGGGCTGGGGATATGGCTCAGAAGTCGAGTACCCCTGAGTTCAATTCTTGGTACCACCCCGCCACTCAAAGAAAAAGCATATTATATAAGAGGCAATTATCTGTTCCTAGGCCATGAAAAAGTCCTATGTCCTATTGAAATCAGTGGGATTTTATTTATTTATTTATTTGGTACTTGAGATTGAACCCAGAGACACTTTGCCACTGAGCTACATCCCTAGCTCTTTATATTTTTTATTTTGAGACAGGGTCTCACTAAGTTTCTTAGGGCCTTACTAAGTTGCTGAGGCTGGCCTTGAACTTGTGATTCTCCTCCCTTATATTCCAGAGTTGCTGGGATTATGGGCTTTTGTCACTTCATCTAGCTCAATGGGATTTTTAAAAAGTATTCCATATAATATGTTTAAATCTATGCATTTAAAAAATTACTTTAAAGTGAAGCTTAATACTAAACTAATTATTAAGAACTTTAAAGAGTATGAACATAGATAGATACCAAATCTGGGTGGAATAATAAAAAAACCCTAATGTTTAGATTACTATTATTGTTATTTTTATGGTTGAGAATCAAACCCACAGCCTTGGCATTTAAGGTAAGCCTTTTATCACTGAGCTATATCCCCTGTCCTACATATATTATTAATTGTCAAATTGATTCCATAAACTTTTCATTGTCTAAATATAATATGCTGGGCAAAATCTACCATGGAATTGATTTACTTTTATTCTTGGATAAAAGTATAAATACAAAAACTCATGCTATATAATTTCATTTTTTTGCTCACCTATTCTTTGGTGTAGATCTTTAGTACCTCAGTCTAGACTCTTGAGCAGAACCTTAAGTCTATATCTTGGTGTTTGCTAGAGTTTGTGTCTATTGGGAAGCAGAATGGGACTAGAAGTCCAAGTCTCCCTTTTAATTTTTTGGTACTGGGGATTGAACCAAGGGACAATTTATCACTGAGGAACATCCCAGCCTTTTTTTGCGGGGTGGGGGGGAGGTACTAGAGATTGAACTCATGAGCACTTAACCACTGAGCCATATCCCCAGCCCTATTTCGTACTTTATTAGAGACAGGGTCTCACTGAGTTATTTAGAAAATGTTAGGCATTTGTATTTCCTCTTAAGAAGTTAGTAGAAAAAACAATTTTGTTTATGAATTTAGTTCCTAAATTGAAATTGTATAACCATAGACATTATTTAATGCTTACTTAAAAATCTCCTTAAAAAGTCTTCTGAGAGCCGAGGGCACTCCTGTAATCCAGTGGCTTGGGAGGCTGAGGCAGAAGGATCAAGAGTTCAAAGCCAGCCTCAGCAATGGCAAGGCACTAAGCAACTCAGTGAGATGGTATCTCTAAAAATAGGGCTGGGAATGTGGCTCAGTGGTTGAGTGCCCCTGAGTTCAATCCTCGGTACCCATCCCCCGCCAAAAGAAAAAAAAGAAAAAAGAAAAAGAGTCTTCTGTGAAAGAGGATTTGATGTTTCTCTATTTTCTCATCCAATATATGCTATTTCTCATGCTCTAGTTTATGTTTTGATACCACATTAAATCAAGGCATATTTTAAAATATGGAATATATTCTGTTTTCTATCAAAGACATTTTTGGAAATAATTTCATGGACTTTGTTTTGTTTGGGTACATTAGAAGCAAAACACCAGAAATGGAGTTAGAAGCTACATAAAACCTAATGCATTTTATCCAGATTTTATGTGGGTATTAAGGCTGGATAATTAGCCATGAAATCAGCATAGATAACTTTAGTTCTCAGTTTAATGCTTATTTTTGAATTAGTTAACTTAGCATGGGTACTAAGGATCAACATTTTAGTTTAGAGCTGTAGAGGCTTTGAATAAATTTGCATTAAGAAGTTCTGTGGCTTCTAAGTGCATATAGCTGGAAGTTGTCCTTTAATCACAAGGAAGATAATTTGATGAGAGTAAATAACTTAATATATATTTGTTGAATCATTCAGTAGTTTATTCATTAAGCATCGTCTGTGGAGTAGACACTGTTTTAGGCACTGGGGATATAGCAGTGAGTCAGGTAAGAACTCTGTTCTAATGGAGCTCATATTGGGGTGGGATATTTTAGGGAGTGGACAACAGACTATAAACAACTAAATAACCAATCAAATAAGATAATTTAGCATACATGTAATGAAGATTAGAATTGTAAGGTAATTAAGGTAATAGTGCCTTGGGGATGTGTGAAAATTTAGAGAAGTTGTGTTCTGAGGCCTGTTTGAGGTGGTGATAGTTGAGGAAGCCTGAATGGTGGCAAAGAAGCCATATAACAAACTATGGAAAGAGTGACCTGGAAAAGAGAACTGCAGTGCAAAGACCCTCATGGTGAATCAAGCTTAAACTGTTCAATTAAGAAAGAAAGCCTAGGGGCTGGGGATGTGGCTCAAGCAGTAGCACGGTCTCCTGGCATGCGTGCGGCCCGGGTTCGATCCTCAGCACCACATACAAACAAAGATGTTGTGTCCGCCGATAACTAAAAAATAAATATTAAAATTCTCTCTCTCCCTCTCTCACTCTCTCTTAAAAAAAAAAGGAAGTTTTATAGCTCTTTGTGTAAGGATAATGTGTTTGTGAGAATGTATTCCCTCCTGTGTTGAATCTAGATGAAAATAAAAAGAAAAATCTCATTTTTCCCATCAGTAATTGTTGCGTAACCTTCTATATGTCAAGTATCTCTTAGATGCAAGAAAGAGCAGTGAGCAAAACGTAAATTTCTTCTTTCATGGAGCTAACATACCTGAGATACTTTATTAGAAGGTTCTGATGCTTTTAATCTTTCAAAACATTTGAAAGATTAAAAAAGATTAATTGATACTATAAGTAGTGCTGAATTTTCATCTCTCTGGAGATGGGATGGAGGTATGGTGGATATTGGTGGCTCTCAAAATGCCTAGAGATGTTTGATTAGAGACCTTAAATGTGGTCATAAGTGTCTCAAAATATTTTAGATTAAAAGAAAATGGCTGGGGCTGGGTATGTGGCTCAAGTGGTAGCACGCTTGCCTGGCACGCGTGCGGCCTGGGTTTGATCCTCAGTACCACATACAAACAAAGATGTTGTGTCTGCCGAAAACTAAAAAATAAATATTAAAAAAATTCTCTCTCTCTCTCTCTTAAAAAAAAAAAAAAGAAAATGGCTGGATGAACGAGTGGTGCATCCCCAAGGCACTATTACCTTAATTACCTTACAATATCTGTAAGCAACTCAGGAGGCTGAGGCAGGTGGATTGCAAATTTGAGACCAGCTTTGGCAATTTAGTGAAACCCTGCCTCACAAAAATAACAGAAGTGGGAAGGGCTTGCCTGGCATGTGAAGCTCTGGGTTCAATTCTCAGTACTGGGGAAAAATGAATAAATGGGAATCTGTATATGCCTTAGTGAAGATGTGTTTTAGAATCCAAGATTGCTAGTTTTAACTTAAAATGTTGGCAGTTTGGCAAACTTGGATTACTACTCAGAAATAATTTGTTGTTTAGGATTTGTATTGGAACATTTTAGGAGTTATATTAACTCTCTTACACGAATGGCTTTATTTGCTCCTGTGGCAGTGATTCAATTCAGATATAGTTAATAGAGTCATTGGTTATCTCAAAGGTTTTCACTCTTATGGTTCTATTATTTTATAGTTTTTCTTTGTTGTTCTCTTTATGAGTAACAATGATTTAATGAGCCTCTAATGTATAATTGCTGTGACTTGTTATCTTTGATTTAAGTTTGGGTAAGATAATTAGAAATTTTTTTTTTTTACTTTCTTAAGATAAAAATAATATTTGAGTTTGTGCTAGTTAGATTTTCATTATAGTGACAGAATACCTGACATAAACAACTTAAATGCAGGAAAGATTTATTTTGGCCCTCATGGATTTAGTTCATGGTCAGCTAGCTCCACTGTTTCTGAGCCTATGATGAGACAGAAAATCATGGGGGAGGGAAATGGCAGAGCAAATTGCTCAACTCATATGGCCAGGAAGCAAAGAGAGTGGGGAAGGGGCCAGGGACAAGATGTACTCTTCAAAGGCATGCCCCTGTGAACTACTTCCTCCAACTGGGCCCCACCTTCTGATAGCCCATTCATCTATCAATCCATAAGTGAATTCACCTATTGATGAGATCAGAGCCCTCATGATCCATTTACTTCCCCAAAGCTTCCTCTCTGAACGTTACTGCATTGAGGACCTTCAATTCTTCAACATAAGCCTTTGGGTGACATTCTAGATCCAAATTGTAACATTTCTATATTTAGTATTTGAATTACCAGTTGAGAAACTCAAGTGTTAAAAGAAGAGGCAGGGGGCTGGGGTTGTGACTCAGTGGTAGAGTGCTCACTTAGCATGTGTGAGGCCCTGGGTTTGATCCTCAGCACCACATAAGTCCATCGACAATTAAAAATATTCTTTAAAAAAATAAAAAAGGCAGGATTTTCTGAATAATACGGTATATTTAGAGGTAGAGTTTTTATAGTAGCAAAGGCAAATCATTTCTTTTTTTCTTAATTTTTAGGGATACCAGTAGCAGTGAAAGTGAAGACACTTCTGATTCTTCTTCTGATGAGTTAATTGGTCCTCCTTTACCTCCTAAAATGGTAGGAGAACCAGTTAATCTTATGGAGGAAGATATCCTTGGGCCTTTACCCCCACCGCTTTATGAAGAAGGAGAAGATGATGATGATGACGAAGGAGAAGATGAAGGAGAAGAGGAAGTAAGTATTCAGGTATAATTTAAGAATTCATGGGAGTGGCATCTTTATGTTTAAATTTTTTTTTGGTACCAGTGATTGAACTCAGGGCCACTCGACTTCTGAACCACATCTTCAGCCATATTTTGTATTTTATTTAGAGTCTCACTGAGTTGCTTAGCATCTTGATGTTGCTGAGGCTGGCTTTGGACTCACCATCCTCCTGTCAGCCTTCCGAGCCTCTGGGATTACAGGCAAGCGCCACTGTGCCCTTCAGGGAGCGCCATCTTTAAAATAGTGTAGAGATGAATTTCCTGCTAAACTGTTAATCATGAGTAAGAATAAAGGAACAGAAAACAAAACAAAACGAATCTGAAAAATGCTAGAAGAAGGAAACACAGCTAAAAACTAATAAGTGGAGATAATGTGTTAAAAAGAAATTAATATTATATTTTATTAAATCTATACATTCAGTATAAATAATGAAGAAAGCATGGGGGAAATTTAAAAATAAATTGGATCTAAAATTATCATCAACAATGAAGTGGAAGATGGGAGAGTGGGATTAGAATTCGTTCATTTCGACATCCTTGAATTATTTTGGAGGAGAGTAGAGCTATTAGTTAACTTGATACTAGTTTAAGTTCAATGTATAAGTTATAGTTTTAAGAATAATTCCCCAAAGAGTGAAAATAGAATACATAATCTCCAAAATAGTGAAAGGAAACTTGATTAAAGTACATATTTGACACTTGGAGTAGATGATTTTTCAAATATCTCCTTTCTCTGTGACAAATGATTTTTAGTAGTAATTAAGAAATGAAATGAATAGTAATGATAAGAAAAGAAATAGCTTTTGTCAATCTGTTAGGGATTTTGTCAAAATTGGTATTTGAGTATTCATGTTCATGGACTCACTATACCAAATTTGTCAGTTGACCAAATAAAGTTTTTTTTTTTAATTTTTTTTTTTTTGTTTTAGGTGGACACATATCTTTATTTATTTTTACGTGGTGCTGAGGATCCAACCCAGTGCCTTGCGCATGCCAGGCCAGCGCGTTACCACTTGAGCCACATCCCCAGCCCCTAAATAAAGCTTTAAATTTAAATTTTATAATCTTTATCACATAAAACAATGTGTGTAATGTGTGTGTGTGTGTGTGTGAGCCTTTATAAAATTAGGAAAAGTTGATAATTTCGTTAAAAATCTTGTTTTAATAATAAATTCTATTAATTGCAATTTAAAAAAAATTTAGTTTGTTTTAATTAGTTATACATGATAGTAGAATGCATTTGTGCATTACTGTGCCCCAGGTTTTACTCTTGACTGGACTACTATAATAGTCATTTAGGGAATAAACAGTAGTAAAATATAGAGACAACATAGAGTAGTGATTAAGAGAGTAGGTTCTGTAGCCAAATGGGGCTCTTTTACCTCAAAACAGTAATTTTTGGCAAATTACTTAGCCTTTCCGTGTCTGTCTGTCTGTCTTTTATAAAATAAGACTATCAACTCAAATTGTGTGGACCTATTGAATGAGTGAATGTATATATACAGAATCTTTAGTATGGTGTCTGATATTTAAAGTGCTCAATTAATGTTTGCTACTATTATTAAGGTCATTTATTTTAACAGCAAAACAGGGAATTGAAGAAAACAGTTTATAATAAAAGCATTTAAAAATGAAACTAAAAGGGAAGTTTCATACTATGTTAAATAAGTTATTTATGCTTCCTTATAGCAGTCAGGTTTATAATAATTAAGGAGCAATAGATACATTCTCTTTAAAATTAGGAATTAAATAGAGATGACAGCTGTCACATTAGTAATATTATAGACATTTAAATTTTTAAAAAATATTTATTTTTTTAGTTTTAGGTGGACACAATATCTTTATTTTATTTTTACGTGGTGTTGCAGATCGAACCCAGTGCCCTGTGCATGCCAGGCGAGCGTGCTACTGCTTGAGCCACATCCCCAGCCCAGACATTTAAATTTTTGTATTTATTTTTTGGTTGTAGTTGAACACAATACCTTTATTTATTTATTTATTTTTATGTGGTATTGAGGATTGAACCCAGGGCCTCGCACATGGTAGTCAAGCACTCTACCACTGAGCCCCCCAATTTTTTAAATTTTAACTTTTTGGTACCAGGGATTGAATCCAGGGACATTTAACCACTGAGCCACATCCCCAGCTCTTTTTTAAAAATTTGAGACATGGTCTCGCTAAGTTGCTGAGGCTGGGTTTGAACTTGTGATCCTCTTGCCTCAGCCTCCCAGACTGTTGGGATTACAGGTGTGTGCTACCATGCCTGGCGTATTAGAGGCATTTTTGCTAATTAAGGATAACTGAAATGATCAGGACTAATTAGAAATGAGAATATTATTAGAGTTGATTTGACTGTACCTTAAAATGAATTAATCAGAGAAGTTATAATAGATTAACAGTGTGTATTTTAAGGGTTAAAAATGAAAGGGATAATGTTTCACAACAAGAACAACAACAAAAAATTAGGAAAGTTAGGAAAAGATGTGTCTGAATATTAAGAATATAAAGCTTTCCAATAATAAAAGAATTTGAATAAGAAGCATTAAATAATCAGTGAATCATAAAAGAATTTGAATAAGAAGCATTAAATAATCAGTGAATATTTCTTAGTTTTCTTTTTCTTTCATCCTACAGAAATTAATTAATTAACCCAACCTTATTTCCTTGCCTAAACCTGGCTATTAAGTTATCGTGTTGCTGTTTACATCCAGACTGTTAATGATACTTTAACAGTACTATGCTATCTCCTGTATTTGGTAGCCTGTGAGGTTGAGCCTTGAGCTGCCGGTAACCGAAAATTCAAAATAGCTGTGGTTTAACCAAGATGAAAATGTTTTTTCTTTCTCAGTGAATTAGTCATTAAATGGACCAGACTGATTTGCAGGTTTAGAATATTCCAGACTTAGGTTGCCTCTGTTTTTTTTTTTTTCCCCCATGACAATCCTCAATTTATGAGCTTCAAGATGGATGCTCAAGAGATTGCCGTTATTTATACAGTTCTGTTAGTAGAAAGACAGAAAGGATAAAGTAAAGAAGGCTAATAGTTTTGAACTTTACATTTTTCTTTCATTTAAGAAGTATAATATTTATTTTGGAAGTCAGAAATTCAGCTTCCAATACCAAAGGATGGATTATAGAGGGCAACTAGCCACTATACACTGAATGTATATTTATACTCAGTGTTTGGTACTTTCAGTTATAGCAATAGTAAATTATTTATTTACTTTGGTTTTTATGTCTTTTTAGCCATTGTGAATAGTCCTTTGATACTGTATGGCGCGCGCGCACACACACACACACACACACACATTTATTTATTCATTATGCATATTTTATTTTACTACATACATTGTGAACATTAGCTCCTTTCTCCGAAGGAACAGAACATGAAATTTATGGATACTGATACAGTTTTCAAACTCTTAGGATTTGTTTACTGTATTAACATGCATGGATTTAATTTTAATTATTTTGTGTCTGGCTGATTCTCTTGTTTGCTTATTTTACTGTTTTTCTTCAGAAATGAATTGTAGTCTTTATGGTTCATTTAATTAACCTATTAAGGTTCAGCTTTTCAATTTCAGTTTCTGTGAACATTTCAACAAAACCAACCAAGGTGAATTAAAATAGATTAGGAATCATAATATAGAGGTTACATATCCTTTACATATCCTTTCAATATATGTACTTTTTCAAATATGTATGTATTTTTCAGATGTTTTAATCACTTACCTATTGCTTTTCTCAAAAAGTAGACCTCTAAAAACAGTAATTTTTTTCAAAGTTTTCACAAGTGGTGTATTTGTTGCTCAATTTAAGTTTTTATAGGTATTTCACATCTGGGATGATAGGACAAAATGGGTTAAGGAAAGATTTATGAAACTTGTTTCAGCAAAGATCTAGGCAAGCTTGACTATATATCCATCTCTTTCACTTATATATAGAATCATGGGGAATGCCCATCAGGTAAAGGAAGATAGAAAAATTGTCTTTTTTTCTTTAACTTTACAAAAGAATTTTCAGTAAAAGATCTTAATAGAAAGTACATTTTGAATGATTCACTGTTTAGGGAATATTCCTTGTTAAGTAAGTAAGCAAGTTATAGGTCTAAACAAAATAAGCTATCTGCCTTCAGTTGAATTTATGGTTATCATTTTTTTTTTTGGTTATCACTTTTAATAGCAGGTTTTACGCACTCTTCTTTATTATTTATACAACTAACATATTATAAGTAATTTCTTAGCACTGGGTTCATTAGTAATTCAGAATATTTTTTCAATGACATGTCTTATCTTTCATCAGAATGGAGTGATACATAGAAGATCTGATTGATAAATGTTATCAGACCTCACCAATCCTGTTAGCCCATTAATTCTCTCTGATAAAGGGAGTTGTTAATTTTGATGACACTGATCAAAACTTCAATATTTGTTTCCCATTCCTCCATTTTTCCTTCCCTGTGCATTCAGTGCTTTCAATATGAGAATTCATTGAAGTTCTGACCAGCCTTTAGGGACATTTCAAAAGTGATTTCCTCTAAGCAACTTTTCCAGATGTCAGCTGCATGTGCTGCTTCCCAGGCTTGGTTTCTGTCTTCTTTAGCAAACTTAAATTGTTTTCCTTGTTAAATCATCATTTTTTCCTTGTATTAATTCTTCTGCCTCCCTTTTGCAATCATATGGCATGATCTCAAGTACAGAGACTAGCAGATAAAAGATAGTCATTTTTAAAAACCCTTATAGCATCTATATTGTAAGTATAGAAGTAATATGAAATGAAATATGAAAATGAAATCAAACATTTTTTGGTTTTTATAATCGAAATGTTCATTTTATGACATTTTATTTATTTTTTTTCCTTTATGACACGTTGACCCTTAGTTTTAACATGGAAAATGAAAGTAGGGATAGAAGAACAAGCAAATATGAGTGAAGAAATGAAGGTGAACATCTCCTAAAGAACCATTATATA